CCAGGCCCGTCCCTAGCTCCCGATCACTCAACGGCACGTGGTGACGCCCACCGCTATGCTGTGTTTTCTGATTACCCCTTATCCAGGGGATCTGACCGCAACTCCTTATCACGGTCCAGCTTGGGCCCATCAATTTTGCTTCTTCTATGAGGAGCGCAAGGAGGGTTCTACGAGTATAGCTGCAAGGTAGGATTTCCGTAGGTTCGTTGAAATAAGATAGGCCATTCAATCAGTGTGTTCTTCACTGTCGCCCATCGACAGCTTAGTCCACGCCCACCCAGCCACTTCACCTCTGTTTCGTACAATTGACTCCATCCAGGCTCTTATTTTGAATCCCTGAAGACAAATTAAGGACGTTAATCTACAGCTGAATCGCAGTTGTGCACCCCAATTGCGCCTGTGTTGATATTTTACGATCGCAGCCAGGGCGCGCCGAACGCAGGTCGAACGTGATCAGCTCAGCAAACCTGGCCCTTTGGTCGCTAATGTGCAATATGCGAGACTTTTCAAAGTGCTACATGGCGATGAAGTTGTACATAAAGGGGGCTGACCGACGCCTGCATTCGTCTCAAATCTCACCTCCGATCAACGCGAGGCATCCACATGGAGGCAGGCACAAAGCTACATCCTGACCAACGAGAGCCCTTCACTAACCGGAAATATTCAGCATAGTTGTCTGTGAGGACAGACTTCTCTATCGCTCTATTATGGTTGATGGGGAAGTGATATCGGCCACGGCGGCTGTTGTATGCTTACATGCACACACATCGCGTGGCGGTCCATTCTGGCGCCCATGCTGAACTAGGGCGATGTCAAGTTCTACCACTTTCACTCCAACATACTGTAGAAGAGCAACTATGTGGTTGAGAGGGGGGGCAATGATCGATGGCCGGTCTTAGTCTTGAGCTTGTAGGGTGTCGACAACCAGCTCAGCCTGGAGAGGGGAGCATTGCCCGCACCCTCTTTCAGCTAGATTTGACAGACGGCCCCTTCAAAATAGAGGAGGTGAGTGCGCATTTTCAGGCGTGTATGGGAGCGGGTGGTGAACAGGGCTTGGCCTGGACAGAGATTTTCTTTCCTTATCAGCTTGCTCGACTCGAGCTTTAGATTACCCCTGATAAGCCGAATCCTGCGGAAGAATGCGGTCGCATGCTGCGGATACGCAGTATGAATACACAACTAATATTAAGTCATATTCAAAATAATTAGAGGATGTTGTCAGGAATGTATTTAAACCGGAGCCATCCCGTCAGAATTCAACAGCAGCCAAGTGTTCAGGAAGTTGGTGGAAAGAGGCTAAGGCAGTGTCCGAAATTCGTTCAGTGAAGTGAAGTGAGCTCTTCGCACTTCATTGCATTCTTGTTAGCCGTAGTTATGGAATTGCTCAAAGAAACATCAGCTCAGTGCTTTTCAACATCTTGACACATATTCTTTCTGTTCAGATCTCTGAGCGTATTCGTCAACGATCGTACCCGAAGAAGCCTAGCAAGATAAGTAATAGAGGCAGTGACGATAAGAGAGTTCCAGACCGGCGTGTTATCTTGTTACCCGCTCAATGGTCACTAGACACGTCAGGTAGCTTCACAGTCAGTCACCAATCGCCCTTAGGACCTTGTCCCCTGAATGTGACAAGCAAAGCCGGACCTCTAAACAAAGACGCCAGCCAGTGGGGACGATACTTTAATGCAGACCCTTCTGAGAAGAAATAAACCATTATTTGCAGGCGAAGTCTGTGCTATGTGGGATCCTTTCACTCAGATCGCCTTGGCCAAGGTGACCTCTCTTCTCAACTCCAACACTACGCTTCAGTCCTGCTACGACAATATGGGTTGACAAGTTTCGTCGCTGCTTGTTGGATCGATATTTTATGACACGAAAAAGGACTGGGGACCAGCCATGGGAGTCCACGAATACATTCTTGGATCAGTCCCCGGTCTCCACGTCACTTTTCGGGTGTCTGAATTCCGCAAGCTGGAGCTGGGGTAGAACATTGGTACATAGGACGAGTGAATGCTAGTATCCCAAAGTTCTAGGTCAATTTTCACCTTGATTGTTCATCGCAATTGAGCAGTAGAATCGTAATTAACCAAATTGTAGAAGTGTTTCTCCTAAGTAGCGCTACGTAGAGTCTCATCACAATAGCTTAAGCCAGAAAACCGCCATGTGTATAGTGCTGAACTCGCACAGATACGGGATGGAATACGATGCTGGCTTTGTGTGAATGAGGTGCCCATCCGGCCCCGTCATGCCTTGGATCGTGGCATCGGCAACAGAGTCACTTTCAAAATCATGTTCGGTGTAGTCTAGCATTCAAAAATACAACCAACTCCAGTCGTCAATTATGATTGGAGTCCTTGGAGTCATAGTTGAACAAGCCAAGTCTCAGTTCGTCTTTCCACTGTTATCCATCCGTGACATCTCAGTAGCAGCAGTATTCTGCCCAACACGACCTTCAGGCAACTCATTCATCACATCCTCCTCCTTATCCAAATCCCTGAACTGGAACCAGAAAATAACACCCGCCACGCCAGCCAGCACGGCCACGATGCCATAGTTCCACACTAGATACGGGTCGGTGCTCAACGGCGTGAAAGCCTGCCCCAGCGCCGCTGATATGGCCGACATGAAGAGCGCCACGGCCTGGACCATGGACCGCATATTCTTGGGCGCCTTGCTGAAGGCGTACTCAAGGCTCGTGATGCTGGCAAAGATCTCAGACAGAGCGATGAGCACGTAGGCGCCCGTCTGGGCCCAGACGAGGATGTCTACCGGCGGACAGGGATCGCCATTAGGCAAGGTGCCCGAGGCGAATTGGCCGCAAGCGGAGCGCTTGTAGATGTAGTACTGCAGCACACAGGCCCAGACCATGGCCATGGCACCGGTGAAGAAGCCGAAGGCGATCTTCTTGATGGGCGTGAAAGGAATCCTGAGCTTGCGGAGGGTTGGGTAGAGGACTAGGTCGCAGAGCGGGATAAAGAGGATGAGGGCTATGGGGTCGAGGTTGGAGAGGATGTCGTTAGGGAGGCCGTTGAGCTGCATCGTGGCAGCTTGGGAGACTAGGTTGCTGTTCACTTTGAGGGGTTAGATGGGTGACAACATCATAATAGAGGGAGGGCGAAGCCGGTGGCCTACATTGGTTGTACGAGAGCCAGTATATGGGATACCATGAAAAGACGGCACAAGCTGCGAAGCCACGACGCCTATAGCGGTCAGTATATTATCAACCAGATGTGCCGAGACGATACTCACAGCTCCTCGACCCAGGCGTCGTCAAAGGTCATCCACTTTGGCCGAGTCGCATCAGAGAAGTTCGAAGGCTTGACCCTCTCCCAGAAGGTCCCATCATGCATGTTCCTCCAAGTCTTGACGGGGTTGATCGACCATCTGCCTTTCTGAGCAAAGAGGAATGTCCGCAGAGCAGGTCCCAGAACCGAGCCCGTCGGGGGCTGATCGCGATATCTACCCTTTCCCCACCACATGACTAGGGGGCACAGCGCCAGCATGCAGGTCGGCAGCGTGAAGCTCAGCCAGAAACCAACGTACTTCTCGGCGTAGACCATGGAGATCTGGCCGACCAGGGCGCCAATGTTGATGAACATATAGAACCAGTTGTAAACTCTGTTGATGGTGATGGCGGGGTCGACAATGACTTTCTCCCCCGTCGGGAGCGTCCTTACGGTCAAGTGATCGATCTCGAGTTGCTCCGCAATCAATGGACTGACGTTAGGTTTGAATCCTCCCGTGGCAAAGCCAATCGTTCTAGCCAGAATTAGTTTGTCGATGCCCCGGACCGACAATTGCATTCAACACTTACATCATGCCAACGAGAAGCGCCGATAACGAGTTCCCGGCTGGCTTGGTGATTACAGGTGGGATGGCGGCGGAGATGAGAATCAAGTGGCCTACGAGATCGACGGCGATGGAGATACAGATGGTCTTGTATCGGCCCCAGTACTTGTCGGCAACCCAGGCGCCGAATAAAGGCATAAAGTACTGCCAGAACTGGTTAAAGGTCGTGATACCCGTTGACGCCTGCTGGCCCATTCCAAGGGCGCCGGGTTGGCCATTCGGCGCGGCACCGGTCGTCGAGCCCGCTGGGAGGGGTTGTTGAATGAAGTTGGTAACTGGACTTGGTTAGTATTCTTTGGGCCAGTAGGGCTTCTACTTGTTGGCAAAACATACACTTCCAATGTTAGTCTTCTCTTTTGAATAACGGAATCAGTCTACTCACGACAATGACGGAGCCATAATACGAGAAGCGTTCGCACAGCTCGACAAAGGCAATGGTGAAGAGCTTGAAGGGAATGTGGTCCGAAACTCTCCTCAGAGTCTGCAAGTCTTCGTCGGTCGGCGCATCTGGTCGCGGCTGGATACCCCTCTTCTCGTCTAGCGATACATCTTCGTAGTACTTCATGTCGTATGAGCCCTCTCTGAGCTGAGACCCAGAGGGGGACTGGTTAATTGTATCCCCGGCTGGCATCGTATCTTTCATCCTCACTCTGATGTCAAATCAAAGAATGAAGCCGTGATCACCACAAGAAAGCAGTCGCGCGGCAAGGTAAGAAGACGTTGGGTGGCCTTCCGCATTTATGGTCTTGGCTCTTCCGGTCCGATATGTGAAACACGATTATAGAAGCCGTGAAGGACACAGGGATGAAGACGGGAAGGGACATTCGCTATCTTGGGGAAAGTAGGGTAAGGATTGGCTCATGATAAGGCAAGAGGCGAACAAGCAGGGATACTCAGGTCAAGGTAAAACTGATAAAGAACGGACGGGCTCGTAGCAGATCGTGGGGGAGGGGGGAAGGAAACACCACACAGAGCGGCGGCGGACTTGGGGCGAGCAGGCCTGAGCTCAGGGGGGCAAGTGTAAGAGAAGTACAGACGAGATGGAAACCAGATTGGCGGATGTGAACCTTAGCATGCGTCCGTCTCTTTTGCAGGTCAAAGGTCTTGGTGAGCAGAGTGGTATTGTAGTTGAATTAGCAATCAATCCGATTGATCGTGAGATTTGTGCGTGGTCTCGTGCAAGCCCTTTTAACCCCAATATTGACTCTGTAAACCATTTTGGCAAACCACTATCCGCGGCCTACCTTTGCTATTGGATCGAGCAGACTTAGTTCCTACGGGTAATCGTAAAGCTTAGAAAGTCACTGCCGACTCGGAAACCGACAAATTGAGCGCGACAATCGCCTGAATGTTTAGGTCTAGCGAAACAGGGCCATTCTCAGTGTCGACGCTTCGTCCACGACAACTAAGGCACACCACGACTGTTCTGTACCGGCCTGCCACGAGCCAAGACAACGCCCGCTCTCCATGTCATTTGACCTTGCATGCGTAATTGTTGACTCGCAGTCACGAGGCTACCACTCGATGATCCATCAAGCGGGACAAGCCACAATCTGTTACACCCCTAATCCTGAGTAAAGATCTACCAAGCTCTAGTTTGGGGACTCGAATCCCACAAGCGATCTCTTTTTTTCTGTTCTTTCTCTCCTTCCAAGAAGCGACGTGTGCGAGAGACTCGCGTCAACGAGAGCCGGTGAGACTGGTTGATTGTTAGACACGGCGAGTTCCCTCTGCATCACGTTTCGGATAACGCTGGCGGCAGAACCTTCAACTCCATGGCTCGAGCTCTAAACGGCGTGCCCAAATTGTCAAGAGCCAGAGATTGCGTAGCGCCCCGAATCACTGCCGGCCCATTCGCGGAATGTGGCCGTCGGACATCCATGGAAAGTGACGATACGGAGCGCATGTCATTACGAGTCAGGGAAAGGATGCAGCACGCAAGATTGGAAGCCATTGAAAGCCTGCCGATAGGCGACTAGCTCATGCATTCCGCTCAGCGCTCGCTGTTCAAAAGGAGAGGAAGTCATCATTGACGTTTCCCGGACGGCTCCACTAGGCGCCGGCGCCGGCGCTCAACTCCGGCTCGGCAGGAACTGGGGCCGTACATGTGGAGTCGACGTTACATCGGGGATTGGTGCTTTTTCCCCCCTGATGCGGACGATTCAGGGGCAGAGATAGGAATGCCCGGATGGGCGATGAATAGCCCGGAGAACGTTTGCTCGGAGAAATTCTTGGCTTCGCGCGCCGCTTGTGTGGCATGCAAGAGAAGGGTCTCACGCGCAGATCCATCCTCACGAATGCGCAGGAGGACAGCCTTCATTGGTTCGCGCATTCGATGCATGTCTCTCACTTGCAAACATGGCATCTCAACCCACGGCACATTTTGATGTAAGCTTGCGGCGTTCTCTTTTTAAGATAGGCATTGGAGTTGTCTTGATGGAAGAAGCGGCCTTGCTGCTCGGTATTATTAAATGTTTATATAAACGTTCGGAACCACCGAATGGGGATATGCAAGAAGAGAGCAGCGAAAACCACTCTATACGCGCTTCGTCACGGGGCCAAAAGATTTCATCTCTTGAACCATATGCCCGCGACTGAGACCTCTGGGAAGCCTCTCCCAATTCCAGACTTCATCTTCTTTAAAACTTGCCCTTGAGCAGGTTGGCAATCATCTCGCGACCGGTGATACGGGTCGTCGTCCACAGAGTGGGGAAGTCGAGGGTGCTGGACAGGCCGTCGGCGAAGCCAAAGAAGAGCATGGGAGGAATCCAGCCGCGGGCGTACTCGAGCGCGAAGCAGCCTTCGTCCATCTTGTACTGCTTGACGTCGCCGCGGTGGAGGTGGTGGACGGTGCCCTGGGGGTAGACCTCGGGCTCGTACTTGCCGGGGACGTAGGCGAGCTGGGTTCCGTAGAGGATGTTGAAGTAGTCGTCGGCGGTGTGGCGGCCCGAGTGGCCCTCGGTTCCGATGGCGGTGCCGAAGACGATGAGATACTCGGTGATACCTGATGATCCTCTGTCAGTGACTGCAATTCGTTGGTCTCAGGATATCGAATAAGGGGAACTTACTGGCGTGGATGATGTACATGGCACCCATGGCACCGCCGGCGTTGTTAAAGACCCATTCCTCATCGAGGTTGACGCTGGTGGGGTGCATGCCTTTAAGCTCGGTCACGATGTAGCTGACGACGGAGCGCGTGTCGTTTCCATGGGCGGAGATGGCGCGCTTGGAGAGGTCGTGCAGGTGCTCGTGGTCAAAGATGTAGAACTTTTCCAAGTTCTTCTCGAGGAACATGTAGATGGGGGTCAGGAGACCGATCCACAGCGCCAGTGTAAACAGGCGCCCGAGAGACGGCATTGTGATTTGCACGAGAAAGTCTGGTGAAAGACTTCAAGATACCAAAGTGCAAAGGAAAGGGGAAGGAATGTGACGGTCCAATTGATGGACTTGTGTACGTTGGAGGGAAAAAACGGAGAGGACGCACACGGAATCGTGTTTTGCGACGGGAGCAACGGCGAGATGGGTTTAAGAAGGCTTCGGTGAGCTCCAGTGCCGTTGTCGCATCGCTTATTGTTTTTGGTTGAGAGATTGGTAGGACCCTGCATTTTGCTCTTTCTGCCATGCGCCACCGCTCCGGAAGCTCGAATTGCCAGTGGCCTGACGGAGCTTGACAGTGGGGCTAGCCATGGGTCTGACCTTACTGTTTACCTTAGCTGCAGCTGTCCGGGATGGCGGGGCCGTCGACTGGGCAATTCACTGAAAAAAAATCGGACTTTCGGGTTTTCGACAAGTCCAATCTCAACCACCGAGCAAACGGAACGGACTTTGATACTCCAGCCTCACATACGGAGCCGAGGAAAATTCGCGATTGGGGTCAAACTCTCACTTCTCACCGCTCACTTTCGACTACACTCAAGTGTGACAACGGGCACGAACAAGAGCTCCAACCAAAGCCAACTCTCACACGTCATACATCCACTCCAAAGCTCTCATCATGGCCACGGTTGAGACCCCCCAGACCGCCGTGCCGGGCAAGATCCTTGGGCCGACAACGCGGTTCGCTGCCGGCCCAGGAACACACGTCTACAATGGAAATGTCGTCGCCTCTCTGCTCGGCGACGTGACTGTCACAGCCTCAGCCAAGGCTCAGGCAGGCCTCACGAAGCGCCTCAACCGTATCACGCCGCTGTCGCCCGAGGAGCTGGCGACCATCTCCGTGGCACGCAAGGGCGCAAGCAAGAAGCGCGAGGTGCTCCCCGACGTAGGCAACATGGTGCTCTGCCGCGTCGTGCGGTTGATGCCGAAGCAGGCCATCGTCACGATCCAGCAGGTCGGCGACACGGTGCTGCAGACGGAGTGGCAGGGCGTCATTCGTTCTCAGGATGTGAGGGCTACGGAGAAGGACAAGGTCAAGATTTATGAGAGCTTCAAGCCCGGTGACGTGGTACGGGCGCAGGTGGTGAGTGGCTTTTGCAAGACATCGAAATGTAACAGGTGATGGGTAGCTGACTTGTGATATCAGATTTCTCTGGGAGACCAGGCAAACTACTACCTCTCCACCGCTGCCAATGAGCTGGGTGTCATCATGGCCACCAGCGAGGCTGGCAACGAGATGGTGCCAGTCAGCTGGAAGGAGTACAAGGACCCGGAAACGGGCATCGGAGAGCCGCGCAAGGTGGCCAAGCCAAACTGATGGGCGCGTTCTTTCCTCCATTAGCCTGTCTTTTCACGATGTGCAGGTCGAGCCGTGGAGCGCTTTGCAGCTGGATACGCTCAGACGCTTGAGGTCGCAGAGTATTCTGCACCGCCTCGCTGACGAGGCTGAGGGCTGATAGCTGTTCTTACCCCGTCCTCGCTGGGCAGGGAAGTGCTCTCACGGTGTTTCGAAACGAGAGGGCCGGCATGACGACATGACAGCGGGCTTTTTGAACAGTTTCAGACTGCTGGGCCGAACCCGAGGGCCGACTTGGCTGGTGCACCAGCACAGCAAGCAAAGAATTACGACGTTCTACCATCTTTACTGGTAGCAGCAGCAGCAGCAGCAGTAACAGCTGCCGCCAGCGATGCATGAATTTTTGACGAGAGATAAAAGCATGAGCTCCACTGCCAACCAACGATGCAATAGCAGTTTGGAGGGGTTGCATGGCCGGCAGGGTGCCCTTTGTGTACGAAAACACTGCGATGACTCAGCACGGGACATGGCGAGGTCAAAGGACTGATTGATGGACAGTCCGATGTGGGAGCCTTATTCATGCAAGGGGACGATCAAGAGATGTCAAAGGGAACGGATATTGGGTGCCAGAGACAAAGGACGAGCGAAGGGGCGGAAAGGGACAGGATGATGGGCCGCCGTCTACACTCGATAGTCGTCAAACATGACACCTACATGGTATGATGATTAGGATATCACCAATTCCCAAGCGTAACCTGTTCCGTTCCCGTGGGGGCATGGGCATGAACGGACATTCCGCAATTGGCATTAATTTAAACAATCAGTCAATTTGGACCAAGAGGAAGAAACATGACTTTGTTTAATCAAAACGGTTGCGGCCCGCACATAGAAAAGAATGTAAAAGAAATGGCAGCAAATTAAGGCTCAGGCAAAGGTCGTACGGAGTACAGCCGTTCCCGTCTCTCCCTGCCATCTCGGTTGACGAGGCTTTTCAACCGCAAGGAGAGTGCTGGAACAGAAAATGGGGTGGAGCAGTGACGGCCCCCGTAGATGACGCCCAAATTGGGTTTCCTCGCCCAATCGTCCGACGCCGTTTTTTAAGGACCCGCCCGTTTGGGACACTGAAGGACCCCGGTCCACGGTCGTTCCCCCCAATCATCATTACCACCCGAATTCCCACGAAAGCAAGGAGGCGCAGTTACCGTTCGCGTCGTGGATTTATTCGTGGAAGGAGACGGCAGAGCGAAAGAAAAGGGCAGGTTGTGTGGTGTCACGTAAGTCTGGTGGCTAAGGTGGCATGTGGGCGGGATTTCAGGCAGATGGGGGTTGTTTTCTATCATCTTGATTTACTCTTGCGAACCCATACCCTTCAATTGTCTCTTCTTCCCTTCTCTTTGCTTTTTTCCCTTGGTGGACATATCGATATTCAATATTCCCATTCGACTACCGTTACGGATACAATTCACCGAACCTGCGACGAGACACCAACTGCACCTTAACTTTTTCTACCTCCCCAAAGCGCCGCGCTGCTACGAATTAAGAGTTCCAAACCACCTCTTTCGTACACTCTATTTTATTTCCAGATATAATGAGCCCCGACATATGATCGTGCGCGCCCGCCCACCACTCGTATTTCATCCCCCCCTCCTGACGAACCTTTGGCACCTCGACGTCACACCTTTCAAACTCTCTAGCCCCCCCCCCCCGCTGCGCTAAGGTAGCTTTTCCCTTCCTCACGCGGGGACTTTGCAACGCCTCGAGCACAACCTAAAAGGAAGCTTGAATCTTTACCCCCCGCCACCTCTGCCGTCTAAGTCGATCGCACGACCTGCCCTTTCCCTTTACCACGGATCCTCACCGAGAAAGGAGTGCGACAAAATTCCCGGTTCATCCTCATCGCCAAACCGAGAAAAACGTCTGAGCCTGGGACGATCGATCAACAACACCACCACCCCAACGAATAAAAGCCATGAGCGCGACAATGACAATGACCGCCGCGCACCCGCCGCTAACACCGCCAACCCTCTCCCTCTCAACCGACCGCTCAGAGCAACATTCCTGCCCCTCCTGCGGCGTCGTCCTCGAAGCGCCCCCCGCCCTCCTCGAAGCCCAGTCCCGCATCGCCGACCTCGAAGCCCAGGTCCGCCTCCTCAACCAAAAGGCCGCCGCCGCCGTCGACCGCTGGGCCGACTACGAAGACGAGCTCACACGCCTGCGCGTCGCCGCATCCCACCGAACCTCCACCGCCGCCGCGTCGCCCGGTCTCTTACCCTCGCTGCCTCTCGCTCCCAGTCCCTCGCCCACCCGCACCAGCTTCCTGAGCGGCGGCGCGAACAGGTTGTCACAGCTCCTCAGCCCGCGGGGCATGAAGTCCTCGCCGAACCTGCGCACGCCCTCACCGCCGCCTGACGGTCCCGCATCGACGGAGGATCTGCGGGAGGCGCTGGGGAGGGAGCAGAAGATGAGGATGGCAGCGGAGAGCAGGCTGAGCACGACGAGCCAGGAGGTGGAGGAGTTGAGCGTCAGTTTATTCGAGCAGGCCAACGAGATGGTCGCGACGGAGCGGCGGGCGCGGGCGAAGCTCGAGGAGAGGGTCGAGACGCTGGAGAAGCGGGACAAGGATAAGCTGAGGCGGTTGGATCGGCTCGAGGGGGCCGTGGGGCGCATCGAAAGGGTGAGGTCGCTGCTGGGGGAGATGAATGCCAAGGACGAGGGCGTGAGGGAGGCGGCTGAGCAGAAGAGGGCTTCGCAGCCGTGAGCAGAGGGAGCTCGTAGGAGGTTCGGGGAATCTTGATGGAAGGAATGTACGATGCATAGCGGTGCGAATATCCGCGGAACATTTAATGACGATACGACACGACTTGCATGCATACTGGGCGGGAAGGGAAATCTTGGGTTAAATTTTACGAATCGTTATGGGAAGGAGAAAAGGAATTCTAGGAAGAAGCAAAACCGAAGTCTACCCACAGGGATCGAACCTGTGAGCTACAGTTGTAGGTAGCGCTGCACTTCAGGATTAGGGGTATAACCATCTTAAGCTTCTGGGCAGTAGTCCCAGTTTCAACTGATGGGAGAAATGGAAGCAGACCGATACCTGTACCTTTAGTACGGAATATATTGATGAATACACACTCCGACTGTCGGGGAGATTGTATATCAGGTCACGATCCAAGGCAAATCAACCGACATGAATGAGGTGTTTTGACTTTTAATCTCTCTTTCGTCTTCTCATATGTTTTATACGGGCAAGTGGCCAATCGAAATGAGCTCTTGGTACAGTGTCCAACTGTTACCCTCTCGATCCGCAATGCTTTTCTGGGTCATGCTAAATGGAAGCCTCCGTACGCCGTGCCCTTTTCCCAGGCCGCAGCCTCACAAACTGAAAATGTCCCTCAACGAAGCCCTTGTATCTCTGTGTACGTTTTGTCTCTCGTCTATACGACGCTCAAGCTTTGGAAGCTTTAGTCCTGAATACCTTCCCATACGTCATCAAACTTCTTTGTGTTAGCTGACTTCGCCTTGGGAGAAGTTTTGGGAGAACCTTTGGGTGACGCCTTGGGAGACGCCTTGGGAGACCTCTTGGGCGAAGACTCCTTGACATCACTAGCCTGCTCCGACTTGACCACTTTGGCGGCGGGCGCCTCGTCTCCCGAGCTGGAGTTTCTCCTCTTCTTAGAAGCATTGTCGTTCTTGTCGAAGCTCTTGTTCTCCCACTTGCGCTTCCTGTCATCCTTGCGGCCATGGTTTTGCTGCTTCTGCTGGCCTTGGGCATTCTGCCTTTCGCGTTGCGACTGCGGCGCTCCGTTGGGGTACTTCTCGGTCCATTCAGACAATGCCTTCGTGACCTTGGGTCCCCAGACCTCCTCTCCCTTGAGAACGTCTTCGTACTCCAAGCAGCTATCGGTGCGGACCTCGAAGTCGCCCTGTCGGGATCGCTCAAGCTCAGCCATCATACCCGCAGAGTCGACCTTGGCACCCAGATCATGGCAGAAGCTGCGAACGTAGAATCCAGAGGTGACCTTCATGCGGATCCTGGCAGCAGGCGGGCCCTTGTCGGTCCAAGGGAAGGGCTCATCCTCAGACGGAGGAGGAGGAATAAGGTTGGAGCCCTTGCCGCCTGGGAGCTGTCCCAAGGCGCCAGACATCAGGGCCGGGTTCTTGGGCGGCTTTTGCTTCTTGACAGGCTTATCGCGGATGAGACCATCCTGGCGCTCCTCAAACTTCTTCTTAACCGTCTCGTGCTCGGAGAGGGCTTTCTCTTCTTCCTTCTCCTCCTCAGGAGTAAGCCGACGGCCAGAGGCTCCTTGCTTCTCTACTCGCCAGACCTGCTCAGCGAGGTTCTTCTCGGCCGTTTCCGCCTCTTCGGTAGGCCATCTGTAGTTGTGGGTTCCAGGCTCGTACCACTCGACCATCTCGAGCTCGGTCACTTCAACGTCGCGTCCCACGATTTCCCTAGGGATAGCCTTGCCCTCGCGAGCGTACTCGTACAGCGGCTTGCCCTCCATCTTGAGCGCGGAGTACAGAGGGGGAATCTGCTGGAACTTGCCCCGGAAGCTTTCCATCGCCTTCTCGACCTTTTCCTTCGAGATCTCATCGTATGGCCGTCTGCTCAATATTCTACCCACGCGGTCGTAGGTGTCTGTGCTAGCGCCAAATAGTACCACCGTCTCGTAGGTCTTGGTGCAGTCGAGGAATGAGCCGAGTGATTTGGTACCCGATCCGACACCCAGAATCAGTACGCCGGTCGCCAATGGGTCGAGTGTGCCTCCGTGGCCCATCTTCACGCGGGAGTCCTTCTTAACGGCTCGGCGACGCTTCCACTCTTGCTTCGACTCCTGCACCTTGGCGGCAAGATCTCTCTCGATCAATGGCTTGAAGATGGACGAGGGGTTCATCTGCTGCTGGCAATCGCGGATCACCTGCGCAGAGCTCATGCCGTACGGCTTGTTGATGGCTAAGTTGGAGATAACACGGTCAGCTGCTGTGTCGCATCGCGCGCCTGGGGGTACCCAAAGAGCAACAAAGGGCAGCAAGGAGTCGACGCTTACCGAAGACGCCTTCGTATACGGTGTCTTTCGCCATCTTCCAGAGATTGGGCGTGATTCGCATTCGCCCGATGTTGAAGGATCTTGGGGGAGAAAAGAGAGGAAGAAACAATGCGGCCGGTGGGGGGGAGGTGCGGCCTTCTCTTTAGCTTTTGCGCTTTCCGTGGATCTTGCGCCTCTCTGCATGCAGTTCTGGGAAATTTTTTAGGAAGGGACGTTCCAGCGATTCTTATCGGCTTATCTATTGGTCCAGGGATGACAGAGCCCCTGTCTGCTGGGTCCGTGGACTAGCAAGTCCCCTGCACCGGCGAAGAGTCCCGCTACCTTTCTTCCCAGCTCCAGTGGGGGAGGGTGCTGTGGTTAACTGCCCCGCATCAGTCACTGTACTTCCGACTGTAGGCAAGCACAACGCTCCGCGCGCTCCAGCTTTCTTTAATGGATTTGAGGACCGCGTTCGCGTGCTTCCTTCCCACCTAGCCACCACACATCGTCGTTGTGGCCCGTCGCAACGTGTACCATCACCCCGCAACATCTTATTCTTCCCCCTCGGGAGACGCTTCCCAAGCCTAATGAGCTTGCGCCCAGCACACGTTTACGCCTCGCGCACCGAGAAATCTCGCCTTCACCACCTGGAACGATTGCAGATCTGAACACTACAATGGCTGGACGGCGAGGACGAACGTCGGATTCGACGACTGTCACCGTCGAACCCGACAGAAGGGCTTACTCGAAAGAATTGAGTATTCTCAAGAGATTCGATCCCGTGGAAGGAGATATGCTACAAACCTTTGTTCTCGAGGATGCTATGGTCTGCGACAAGAAGGGCAATCCAGTTGAGCTCTTCACCGTCAACACCCAGGGCCCATTCACTGTACGAGGTCGCGTCATCATCGATGGTCCGCAGACGGCAAGAGGTCTGGCCCATTCCTTGAATCTCTATTGCTTCCAATCGCTTACGTTACGCAGCCGTGAAACCTTCTACGAAATCAGCCTTGATCGAAACCCACGAATGCACTCGCTACGCTATCGGCGTTAGCAACAATGGCTATGGCGCATGGGCTGGGGGCGCGGCAGGATGGTACGAAATTCGACCGCCATCAGCCGCCTACAAGGCGATATTCGACCACACGATCGAAGGAGTTTCGGTCTACTATTCGATTCTGGACATCATCGAGGAGCACGCAGCAGCCAAGACCAACGAGAAGGGCCCCAAGAAGAAGAAGGGCAAGAAGGGCAAGGAGACGGACGTGACGACGAACGCTTCCGCGGCAATGACCATTAAGACGTTGTTGTTCAAGGTGAGCTTAGTGCTGAGAGAAACCTGGCAATCTAAGCTGACGCAAGCGACAGTATGCAGTAGCCATGGGCGATGGTGCTACCCTCGACGAGGTGGAACAGCGCTGCGACGATCATGCATCTTTCCTCATATTCCATTTCTATGAAGAGCCAGAATTCGACTGGGTGCCTACGCTATTTTTCAAATGGATGAAGGAACGACACCCGGTATGTGGTAGCTCCATTTCGGTTGCAGGGGACCCAACTAATTATCCTAGGATATTCATAAGAAAGTCCTTGAACTGAGGGCAAAAAAATTAGCGGGAGTCAAGCCTGGTCTCCCGATACCAGAGGAGACTGAAGCTGTGGTGACGCCGACTCTCTCCGACGAGCCGCCCGCGCAGAAGGCGTTGTCGAAACGAAAGCAAAGGGGCACACCTGCCGGCGATAGCCAAACCGATTCGCACGACTTTGCTCTCTCTGCACGCGACATGAGGTCCAGATCAAGGGGCAAGACCAAGACGCAGTCGCCCCCCGCCCCTGAACCTCTGGCGGAAGCCATGGCAGTGGACGAGACTCCAGAGGTTCCACGCCAGACGGAACTTGTTAAAACGGTCCATGACCGATCCAACGTGGACGCCCTCCTAGAAGCCATTGATGACATCAAACTAGAAGCCGAGCCGTTGAGCAAAGCAGCGTTCTCCAAAGTATCATCAAAGTTGTACTATAAGTACAAGGTCAAAGCCTACCTGGGAGCAGCGGACATTCTCAAGTACTATGCAAAAGAGCTGGTTGAACGCCTGGATCAGGATGAGTGGAGAGGATCAGGTTTTTGGAAAACCCTCGGGGAATCTGCTCAAGCCCCTCGCATCTCTCTTTCCCACGTTGAGCTTGACCAAATCCCCGACTGTCTAATTCGACGAAAGGCGAAGGAGGTATCAATCCCACGGAACCATCGGCCATCACTTCCTCAAGAGGCTCAAAGTAGCGCAGACGTCGCGACTCCGCCTCCAAGACGTGTTGGTCGACCAGCCGGAAAGATGTCAGGCCTTCGACTCGCGGGCACCGGTGGTAAGCGACGCTTTGACTCCGGGGACGAGACTCCAGAAAGTATCTCCCGGCAGATTGCAAAGAGATTCCACGCCGGCGACGATTCTGACGAGGATGAAGTCATGAATGATGGCAGCAGCTCCGAAGACGATGATTCTAGTGTGGACTCTGCAGAATCGCCTACCGCCCTGAAGGTCGTTGTGCGAGCAGAGAACATTCCCACAACAATACCCAAAGGACCTAATGGCACTTGGGTTTGTGACGAAGACGATTGCGGGTTTGTTGAGCGAAATCCAGAATCCGAAGATGGACGTTTGAGAATCAACGAACACATGCAAGATGCGCATTATCACGAAGACGAGAACCAGGTTCAACGCATCAACTTGGCAGTGACGGAGGGTGACAAGAACCACCTCCCCATAGAGTATGCCTCCCCACCCTCGTCTCCAGAATTTAGATATGCTTGTGTTTCAGACGAGCCACCAGAGATTTCTCCTTTTTGGGACACAAATCCGAGTGGATCTGTTTTGGCCTGAGACGGAAAACGGTCCACGCTGCAGGCCGAATATTATATGGACAAAGCAGATAAGAAGGACATTTTGTCAAGCACTCTGGTCGCATTATTTTGATTTTGTAGCCTATTCAGCCGTCCTTCGAGATGAAATTTGCTAACATGATTCTAGTCACCTGCTCGAGAAGATCCGCCAAATGGGCCACAAGATACAAGGGGCGGAAGGATTGGAGATTGATGAGACAGTCGTGCCTCAGCCTATCAAGAGAAGATTGCTCACTTGAATGGGCACCTGCTAATAATGTTGCTTCGATGCAGCTAGGTGTTACTTACGGCGAGGGAAGGTCTAAGGACAGAAACATAACTGGCTTGCTTGCATGGATTTGGCGTTCAGGGGAGGGGGTTAAGAGACATATTCAGCACGGCATACGCTGATGGCGTTGGTTAGAGAGTTGCACGGATTGGCCCATGACGACGTGTATTATTCCCAGCTCGAGGGTTTGGCTCCAGACGACTGGCTTTGGAGACACTTGAGTAAGAATCAGATAAATTCAATACGCAAAGCAGCTCTTCTGCGTAGCAAACAAGTACTCCTGTGGATCACCAAAGTAGACAAGGGAATTTGGGTTATGGCTCAACATTCACCACAAATGACCCGCGTAATGGACCAGTTGTACGTCATATACATGCCCCTGACATGACTGTGTTATAGGTAAAGTCTGCTTCCATTCGTCTGATATAGAACAGCTAACCTACGGCTTTATGAAAAATTGTAATGCAAACTTAATCATTGTCTGGATCCAGCTTCGAGCCCTGCCGCACATTCCAAGCCCCCGAGACTATACACGGACTGACAAATGTCTCATATTCCACCTCGGGGGTGCATACTGCTCTCAGGGGGGGTAGCAGCTCGACGTGCCTCGTGCTGTCCAGTCCTTCGTCTGCTTTTGATTCTCCAACGCCACGCTATAAGGCCAGACATCTTCAGCCCTAAAACCGCCTCTGGTCCAGGTACTTGCTCGCTGTTGACCATACAGCCTTGTCAGCCGCCGAAACCTCCTTGTGGAGCGTCTGTACGCCCTTGTGGATGGCTTCAAAGAAGGCAAACGCAAGTTGAATGTCCTCCTTGAAGTTGGTAGCGTAAGGGAAGAACTTTGTGGGGAAGTCCTGCATTACACTCTGTTGCTTCTCGGTGTCACTAGCGGGAAGCTCGTCCATGAGTGTTTTGACCGCAATGCCCAGAGCGATGTCAGGGTTGTGGAGGAAGGGCAAACTATGAGAGATTGATCAGTGGCTGGTTTGATTAGGGGGAAAGAAAGTAACTTACGTCTGGCTAATTTGCAGGTAATCGTCGCGGTCCCTCTTTGACTGAGCGTACAGGAACATGGACGCCACGATTGCCTCAACGAGGTCGCGATCCGCCTCACGCACAGCAGTCGAAAGTGACCGGAAGAGGAGAAGATTCTTGTTGAGCGGCCCGGTGTATCCGTTAGACTCGTGTCGAAGTTTCAATAGGGAGGCACATCTGCTGATGAGAAGAATGCTCGCCTTGTCTTCGTCACTACCGGCCATTGGCGCTCCATTCAGCTCCTCGTGTCGATGGCCCGAGTTGAGCACATCGTGTCTGATGAGCTCGAATGCATTCAAAATGGCCTCGAATATGTTGAGGCCATGAGGAACCTGCAAATCTTTGAGCGAGTCCTTCATCGCCCAAATTGCGCTGGCAACGGCGTTACCCCAGTTCGTCAATGTGTGCGAATCGTCGACGTAGCCGCGGAGATGGAGGAATCTCCAGATGGCAACAGCCGTGATATTCTGAACAGAATCAATGCCTCCAATACGCTTCTTCTCTTTGGGGAAGGTGCCTTTGACGAAATCATCGAACAAGAGCGCCAAGATCTCGAAAGCGATAGATCCAGGGGGGTCATCGACGCCGTCAGCGACAGCCTTGAAGGAGCTTTCCTTCACGTCCCATGTGGCGGCACGCTGAGATGGTGATGGCTGAAGAGACTTGTTGATCTTATACGAGAAGTTGTCGTCGAACCAAACCTTCATGGTGATGGCGTTGTGCTGGAGACCGCGGTGAAGTCTGGGTATCAGAAGCGCGATGCTCTGCTCCTTGAGAGGGACAAGTTGGCTTGTAACCAGTTTTCTATACTGTTCTGAAGCAACACCGTCCAGTGTAGGCGTAACGACGATTCGGCTATGTGTTATATAGTCGAGAACGCGAGAGCCAATGAGACCAGTGTTGAGGTAGTGGAACAACTCTCCGGGAAGCTGGAGACCAAGGTATTCGTGGTTGTCACTTGTGATGTGGTCGAAATCGTTGACTTTGATCTCGCCTTCTTCGGAAATATAGATGAAGTGGTTGACGGCCATCTTGGCTTGTCTGTACTTGTCCAACCACTTGGGATCCTTTGACTTCAGGATATCGCCGTAGGAGCTGCAAGCTGATTGAACAGATTTTTCCGACGCTCTGAGAAGGTTGACAGCATCGTTGATAGTAGGAGGCTGGCGTGGGTTGAGTGTAGTGTCCAGGAGTGGTGGGAAGGGCGGTAGGAAGGAGGTTCCGGTCATGAGGAGAGCGTCGCTCAACATGCCTAACATGCCTTCGCTAATGTTCAGTGACCGCGCAAGGTTCTTCTTGGACACCGATGTGACAGTCTTTGCCTCCCAATCTATCGTGCGAATCAAGGTGTCCTTGATAGGGTACAGGATCAGCTCCTGTGAGCCCATTACGGCGGCGCATTGGTCCGAGTCGATCATGTCGAAGTGGGCGAGCTAATAACTCATCAGCATCGAAACGTTTAGCCTATCCAAGCTCGAACCTACCTGAGCGGAGGCATTGTAGGGGGGCACAAGGAAGTGCAGATCGTTGTCCTTCAGGATAGACTTCAGCAAGGGGTAGAGGTTCTGGATGCGAAAAGCGCCTGCAGTCTCATGGTCAGTGTGGCCCGTCGACATTACAGCGATAATGCGTACCACTGTTGGCACCGAACGCGTCGACAGCTTTCTGTGCTTCGCTGTTGAAATATAGGTTCCAAGCTTCATCCGTCTTCTGGTTGGCAATTCGGCCTCGCTGAACGGCGACCTCCTCTTGACCAGTCACAGATTGCCCGTCAAAGATGAAGAAGGGTACGATCTTGTGTGCCTTCCACTGGTCGATATCGGCTCGGAGATGGTGCTCGATGCCAGTCATGCCACCAAGAGCGGGCAGGAGGGGTTCGTGGAAAGGAGGGGTGTCGAGGAAGAGCTGAAGGTAGTATGTCGCATCAATGGCTATCGCGCAGTCCTCGAGCTCGGAGACATCGTGACTCCTATCCAAATGATTTAGTAACAGGAACCTCGACACTATGAACATGTTTGACTTACGTTGCCTGGCCATTGATCCAAGCGTCCTCCACAAGGCCTGTCATGTTGAGTCAGTAAATCTCATGGTACAAATCGCAGAGCGTGATGCGGCTGTAGTGAAGCGCAAGAGCGAGAAGAAGCTGAGATGCTCGGCCGGAGTCGTCTTGCCCACTGTTCCTTCCTGATGTAGTGAAGCGTAATGTCTCAAGAAAGTCGAAGTATATATATTTTTTTTGATGTGTGTAGCTTGAAAGGTTCGATGCCAATGCTCTGGCAGAGTCTTGATGCTTCTCGACAGGCGAAGCTCCGGTTTGTGGGCGTGTATAGAGCTTCAAGGCAGGTACGGCCGAATCGGATGTTTTCCAGCGCAGGAAGCGGGTATGACGCAGATAGCCTTGGAGACATGTGACGGCAAGGCGAGGACCCGGAACAAGGAGTTCGTAGAGCAGAGAAGAGGGCCAGCGCATCGCGGGGTTGGGAATTCGGGGGAGGCGGGTTCGGGGAGGGAGACTCACAAGGCATCTTGTCGGGCCTTGCGCAACGGCGAGGAGCTCGTCAGCTCGAGTTGACAACAAGCCGTTTGGAGGTGGGAAGCGGGTGGAGCTTTGGTCGCGAGACCACTCAGGGGAGCGGGAGCAAAGAGACTGGGCGCTTTGTCGAAGAAGAAGTTCGAATGACTTCCAAAGGAATGACTGAGCTTGTCATGAAAAAGGGAACGGCCGTCTGCAGGGCCAATGACACTGACAAGCGTGTCTCAAAGAAGAGGGGAGCTTTGGAAAAGAACGCTGGCGGAGGGGAGGTAATTGGGAAAGTTTGGGGGTTCAGGAACGCAGGTGCGAGGTACCGTACCGCTGTACAGGGGGAGCAAGTTGGCAACCTACCCTTAGGTGGGTTTCGAGGCGCTAGGGAGGTTGTAGGGTTAGCGTGTGTGAGAGACGGAAGGACCTTCCATATGTGTGGCGGTGCATGTGGCTTGCAGCTTCCCGTCAATGACAGCCTCCCGTGCCTCCCCAAGTTCCTCCCACTGGCACCGTCCCACGATGTTTCCATTGTATCCCCACTCACTTGGAAGGCGCTGGCTCTCCTTCTTTCTAAATGCTCTCTCCTTTCCTTCAAGTCGTACACTTGGTCACCTGAGGATATTGTCTACGTTACCTAAGATAGTGCAATAGGAACCACTAGCTACATTAACCGTACAAGTTTTCTTGAATTGGCAAAATGGACGTCCCAACTCTCTTCAATATCAATCAAACATCTACTACCAACCAGTTCCCGCCAACACGAGCCATCGCTCGAGCCACAGGCAGCATCAATTGACCGACCTTGCAGCGCTTCCCGTCCCCGCTGCCCCGATCCCCGCTCTTTATATTCGCCTGTCCTCTGTGTCAGGGATGTGCGATGCAGCCATGTCTTGATCCCCTCTCCTTCGCCGGCCCCTTGCATGTCTGCCCCCTCCCCCCGACAAACATCTTCAAATGACCTTCTCCGGGAGCACAGCAAGCTTTCAGGTTACAGCTGCAATGGAAGCGCCGTTGCGTCCTTCCATAATTTTCGCACACTCGCCACTATGCGACCAGGGAGTTCCCCAAGCTTGAGCCTCCAATAACCATCGTCGTTTATTCACCTCCCAAATATCCGCTCCATGGCGTCTCCATATCTCGAGAACCCGCAGTTGGACACTCACATGGAATGTCCGCGATCTAGCAGCTCTCCTACCAGCTTTTGTTTCTCTGCTCCTCATCCCAGCGCACGTGGCCAAGAATCCTGTCGGGAATATACCAAGAGCACACGATGGCGCAAGCGCGACTATACGGCCTGAACCCTGCTTAATTGACAACCGGACCCCGGTGCTTGGGGAGGTTTCTTTGATCAGAGCAACACTGACATCAAGACTACGAGCGGATGGCTATGTCCAGTTCATACATTATAAGCTTGGACTATTACATGTCGTTCGCTTTCTCGGCCTAGTCTGACCGTTGGATTCCTTGGCGTTGGGGAACGTTTGCTAGCTGGCAAGCTCTTGTCAATCTCGAACTTCACTACTTGAATATTACCATTTTCATTCCAATATCCGAACATCCATTGGACCCCTCAGTCACACATGCGAGAAGTGTAACACGGCACCTCAAGACCCGTCAACCTCTCGTGAAACCAAATCTTACCACGGATATCCCGCTGCCTCGGCCCTCTCCGGCCTTCTATTCACTATCAAACGCTTCGTAATAGTCATTACCCAAGTCGTTGCCCCGGCCCCAAGCGGTCCCGTCCGCCCCTCCATCATCCCAGTCTTATCGCTTATCGCATCCCACTTCGCGCGACTTCGGTTGAATCTCGCCCCTCCAACCCTCCATTTTCATAAGCCAGCTCCGGCCGCTTCCCGTTCTACTTTGTCTTACCTACCGAATAGTAATTTACAAAGAGACCAGGTCACTTCATCATGGCGCCCAAGGCTAACATCCCAATTATTGACATTGCCGCTGAGGGTGTCGACAGGACCGCCGTTGCGCGCCAGCTTGTCGATGCCGCTGTTGAGCATGGCTTCATTTACATCCGTAACACTGGCAAGTATATTACGCTAAGCGATCAAGACTCGGCATTCGATCTGGTATGGCCCAACTTGTGATGCAATTCCCTTGCAGTGAAATAGCTCGACCGACACCAATAAATAGTCCAAGAAGCTGTTCAAGGCACCTGTCGAGGAGAAGGCCGCCTGTACAATCCAGAAGAACAACCGTGGCTGGTCTGGCATGCACTCTGAGACTCTCGACCCCAAGAACCAAAAGGTATGCCTGATCCTGTCCCAAACTAACTATTCGAGATGTTGACTTTTTGATAGGTTGGCGATTACAAGGAGTAAGGTTATCTGGCCCCTGAGCGTCTTGGCATCTTGACTTACACAGTATCCAGGGCTTTCAACTTTGGCGAGTTCAAGGATGGCAAGGCTCAGCAACCTCTGCCTCCCACCATTCAATCAGATGAGCCCTTCCTGAATTCCTTCAGAGATCAGTGCCACGCCCTCTGCCTGGAACTTCTCGAGCTCCTCGGCATCGGCCTCGACGTAATACTCTCGCCTTTCCCCAGCTTCCCTCTCGAGCAGTCTATTAAACGTGTCACCAGGTCAACCCCACAGACTTCTTCTCGTCCGCCCACCTCCGCTCAAAGGGCGACTCGGGCACAATCCTCCGCATGCTCTACTACCCGCCCACGTCAGCCACCTCCTCAAACCCAGACGACGTCCGCGCCGGAGCCCACTCCGACTACGGCTCCGTCACCCTCCTCTTCCGCCTCCGTGGCCAGGCGGGGCTCGAGATCCTCACCCGCGACAACACCTGGGCCCCCGTCCCCGTCACGCCACCCGGCACCGAAGCGGACGCCCTGCCGCCCATCCTCATCAACATCGGCGACCTCCTCAGCTACTGGACCAACGGCCTCTTCCGGAGCACCGTCCATCGCGTCGTGTTTGGCGGGGAGGGCGCCGAGGGCGAGACGGATACCGGGCCGCGGTACTCCATGGCCTTCTTCTGTCATCCCGTTGGTTCTGTGGCGTTGGACCCCGTGCCGAGTGATAGGGTCAAGGAATTTGTCGCGCCCGAGGGGACGCCGAATGCGAATCCCTATGCGGAGCGCAAGGTGATGACTGCTGATGATCACTTGTTCATGAGGCTGAGGGAGAGTTACAAGGGGCTGTATAAGGAGGAGGAGGAGGAGGCCAAGGCATGAGTTTCAGCAGCTGGACAAATCAAAAGCTCGGTGAATTTTCAGTATGCATTTGTAAGACAACCGACAACTCCGTGACGTGTAATACCCCTGGCCACGCTATGCAAAGTACAGACATTATCGTTCCCATTCCCAAAGCCAACATCTAGTAGAAAGAGAACGCTCTTCTAAGCCAATCCAACCCACCACTTCCTCTTGGGATCTGGTTGCTCCTTCGACGGCTTGGATCCCCTGAGCACCTTTTCCAACGCCGTGACGTCTTCCAAAAGGCGCCAGTCATATACCTCGACATACTCGCGCCTACCGCTCGACGTATACACCGGGTTGCTCTCCAGCCGTCTCATGAGTGTCTTTGTCGCTTCTCTGCGGTTGTGTTCGACGAAGCAGATTTTTCGGGGTCGTTTTCTCCTGGAGCGGCTCGTGACTGAGATGGATGCGGGCGTTGAGGATATGGATGATGATGATGATGAAGATGATGTGGTTGTGTCGGAGGAAGCTATCCAGTCTTGCGGATCCGCGGTCCATTCGTGAATGCCGTGAAGAGGAAGGAGGTTCTCAGTGACCCAGGGTTGGTGTGCGATACAGGGGGCGAGCAGGACAATAGTGTCTGTAAAGAGACAATTGTCGCCTGCGTGTTGACACTTGGGTCTCGATTGTGTAGACGAGGAGTCTGGTGCGCTCTTTTGACGCGTTTCAATTGTGTCTGCTGCAGATTCTGCCGCTTGTTCGTCTGGCTCGTCCAAGGCAACAACGGCTGCTTGAGGTCCTGACTTATCCATTTTGGTGTGCTTGGCTGTCGCCGACTGGGACGCCTGAGGAGAGATAGACGTCTGATTGGCACTGATATCCCCGAGCGGTCGACGGGTTGGCGGAGGCAGCTCTCGATCGTTGGTGCCAGATTCGGAAGAAACTCTCTGTCGCTTCTGCGGAGTCGCGACTTTTCCCTCTAGAGCCCGTTTGCTGGCCCTCGGCGAGTTTGCTGCTTCGCTGGCAGTATTGTCTTCAGCGATACGGTCCATCTCTTCTGCTCTTGCTGATGAGGTTGGAGGAGTGATGAGAATTGGCTCTGGGGCTTCGACCAGTGCCGGTAATCGCTGGAGAGGTTTGGTAGGGCTCATGGAGTAATTCGGCGCCGGCGAAGTTGAAGGTCGGACGGAAGAAGTACGAGATGGCGTCATGAGAGAGCCCGTTGTGGACTGGCTGACGGCATCAACAGGCACACCACGAGGGTCTGCTCTTTCCAGTTTAGCAATCCAGTCCAACATTTCTTGACTGTCTTCCATGGCCGGGGTTGTGGTTGCTTCTTCAGCCACGGCCTGCAGCTCGGAGAAAGAGATTGTGTCCATAAAGGATCGGTCAAAGTGCACCTTGGACACCTGGGGGAACCTCGGCTGCCAGAAGCCGGTGTTTCCCTCCTTATCAAACGAGAAACAGCGGACATCGAAGACCAGCGGTTCGGTAAAGACAACGGTAGGCATCTTTTGTTGAGCAATGCCTGGTGCAAGATGCAGAATCAAGGCATCATTGTTATCGAAAGACACTGGCATCGGGTTTCCGTAGGATGAGACGGTCTTGAGAAGGGTCTCGTTGAGTTCCACCTGGTGAACCACTGTGAACTCAGGCTGGGCCTGGCGCCTTTGTACATCGTCCTTGTTCTTGAGACAGCCGAGATAGAAGTGTGTCCACTTGAGACTTGGAATGCCGTAGCACTTTGCCTTGTCTGCATCGTACCGCGCTGCAACCACAGCAAAGTCGCCCACATCACCAAAACCTCCAATGTACTCTTTCTTCAGCTTGATGGGGCAACCAGCAAAGGAGCGGCGGTCCTCACTGAAGTCGAAATAGGGGTCATCTGGCTTCAGAACCAGGCCTTCCTCCCGGGCAGTGATCGACTCAGCAAAGGCTCGTCGCAGATAATGTGCTCCCATTCTATCATTGAGGTCGATGACTTGGCGTTCTACAAGGTCTGCATGACCCTTTCGGCGGGTAATCAACTTATCCAGCCGCTCGAATCGCTCATTCTGGCTGGCGCCCAGTAGAGACTCTCCATCGATGAGTAGAACGTCGAAGTAAACAATCATCAAGTGTTCGTGGTCATAACGCCTGAAAACATCAGCCTAGATCCATACCCTCGGCTAATCTGACCAAGCTCCCGTCCGCCAGTCATTTTGAGTGAAGGGAGGCAGCAAAAGTTTTGCAATCAAGAAGGGACGGCATCATTACCAAGGTGAACTTACTGCGAGTCTGCTTCCGTATTCAGATAGCTGCCTGATCTTGTGACGTATTTGCGAATCTTATGGAAAGGTAGAACCTTCTTCTCCTGTTTACCTTGTCAGTTTCCTAACAATGTGTTGACGCCATATGCCATACCAAGTCACTGTAGACCACGAGCTCACCCTCAAGGATACATCCCTTGGAGAGCCTGCAATTGGGTTTTCCAATGTTGAGAGAGTCGCGTATAGCTCTGTTTTCGTTAGTAGGTGACACATGGATAGTAAAGTGATGTTCAATGCTCACCCGTGCAATGCGGCTCGGTCTTTGGTGCTATCCTTGCCGCTCTTGGAGAAGATCTGGATGGACCTGAACCCCTTGCTTAAATCTACGTGGATCTGGCAATACTCTCCATCCATCTTCTTCTCGCAGCTTATGCGGCCTTGGCAAAGCTTCATGCAGTGCTTGATGCTACGGCCTTTCAGCCAAAACGGTCTGCCAACTTTGGTGCCCAATACGGGCGTCAGATGCTGTATGAGGTCTCTCCGCTTCTGATTCACCGAACCATTGCGAAAAGAGGGGTCTTTCTTCAGATTTCTGAGAAGAGATAGTGCCGCATCAAAGTTATCCTGAACCCTGAGTATCATGGGCAGTAAGGGGTCGTAGCAGTGATAAAGATGAGCAGGGTCCAGCATGACCGGCTGGAAGTTCTTGAGGACCAGGCGGGTAAGCCATTTCGCCTCTCGCGCTTGTAGGCGAAGGTATAGATGGCCAAGCAGTTCTTGCCGGTTGCTGCTGGTGGAATGGGGCTGCGAGGCCCGAACAACGGGCGAGCTGAATCTACACAAGGCAGCAAGGCTGTTGAGGGTTGAATCGATTTCCTCAACAGTTACGACATCTTTTCCGGCGCAGACAGGAGGAGGCTAGCAGTGATGTAAGCATGACCGGATCTTTTTTGTCATTGCCGCGTCCGCGAGCCAGGGAAACTCCCTCCGTTCCAGTTTGGAACGAGGCGGAAAACTCACCGTTTCCTTGAAGACTCTCGCAACGCAATCGGCTAAATCCTCGCCGCGACCAGCCTCTTTGTATCGGCGCAGTTCTTGAATGCGTGACGTTCCGAGGCCAAAGGTACGGCCAATGATGTTGGCTAGGGTGTCGGCCTGAATACAGTATACGCGATCGGTGCGTTTGTCTGGGAGGAGAGTAGAGAGCAGAGCAGATGGATCTGTCTCAGGATCGTCGACTTGTTGCCGGTGCAAAGTGAACCAGTTGGATACGCGTTGTTTTATGTTCTTGTAGCCGGTCTTACACTGCTTGTGGGCCTGCTCGTGGGCCTGCTCCAGAAGATCACAGACGAGAACAAAGGGAACGGGCATCGTGACGGCCTCATAGCTCCAGCATGGCTGCGCAGGGTAATTTCAGTTGTCCACTTGACTGCCTTGGACTATGAGGATGAAGCGATTATGCGGTTCTTATCTGAGAAAGCGTGTTAGGTTCACGTCACCGAGGGACCAAAAGGTGGGCAACAGTGAATGTTGAGTGAGACGAAAGGCAGTTCAGTAGTGAGCCGTGATGATGCCTAAGGTGAGGTGCTACCGAGTCTTGCTGCCTTCCTTTTCCGTCACGGATTCCAGATCGCTCCTGTGCCTCTTGAGAGCGTCATGCAGATAGTTGGACTACTCATGGGAAAGTCGCGTCACGCGTCTCAATTAGTGGTGGTGCGCTCTCACGTGGGTGCGTTTGGTGTGTGGAGGGCAGACTGGACGGATTGAGCAGTGACATCCACCGGACCCAGACTGGTGGCTCACAAGGTGAACCGTGAAAGTCAATTGAGTGCATCCGTACTCCGTAGTGGTGTGATTAGTTAGGTACCTTATGCATCGATTTATCACCCTTGGTTTACCCGTAGTGCATGCACAAATGGGGGCCTTGGTAAGTGCATAAATGGGCAGGTTTCTGGAAAGTCAAAGGAGCAGTCACGTGGGTCTCTGTCAAGAGTCGGGGAAACAAACTGCAGCTGTGATTGGCTGCTAATTTCAGGGAAATTGTCAGATTGGGGAGTCCCCACACAGGCCACGGTTCATCCCAGCTCTTTCCTGCGGACCCTTGCCGGGACCTCAGACCTGTACTCCGTACAATTGGTGACTTGCAGTCCTGCACACCAGCACTCTTTCATAGTGACCTTTCCCTGAAGTCTTGAAGATCTGCTAGCTGAAAGCCTCGGGCCCTTTTTCCAAGACTTTCCCGTCCGGCGCCGCCGTCAGTCCGCCGCCCATCTTCGAGCCTGTTGCCCGGCCGCCCATCGGTTCCTGACAGTTTCCTGACTCCTGCTGCGGCTTGTTGCAGCGTCGTTGCCTCTTTACAGGTTCCTTGCAGACGATGGTGCTGCACGCTTGCTGCAAGCCCCTGAATAACGTCCGTCTTAGTGGATCGCCACGCCTGCAAACGCAAGCCTTGGCCCACTGGTTTCCGTGTGAGCGTCGACGATGGTTTCGTTTCGTCTTGTTGATCTGACGAGGCGTCCATCAAAACAATGGGAAACGCATGTGCGCAGTGCGATGCCAGATCCATGGCGCCTGGCCGAGAACAATGACCCATCAGAGATCCGAGGGGATGATGCCTGCTTATCCAGCGGCCTTACTTTAGTGTCTCAAGTCTTGTTAGTGTTAGCTTAGCTGTCACTGTCAACAGGGACGATGGATGCAGAGTAAACATTGCACTGGAGAAAAAGAAAGAGAAAAAGAGGCCCAGACTAAAACAAAGGCAATGCGTTTTACGGATACCATAGTCAAGAACACCACCACCATCGCCCACGGCTCCGTCATCAACGGCTCAAGGTCAGACCACATGCTCCGGTTCCCATCCCAACAACCAGGGCTGTAGCCAACAAAAGAAGTCAACTGACCTACTGTCGCTGCTGCCATCGCATTGCATCTACCCGACTATCGATTTCAAGGTGCCCGCCTAGTCACAGTTCTTCTTCTCTTACTCGTCCATTGTCAACTTCATTCTTTCATCCCACCATCTTCACATCTCACCCACCCTCCTCCGTCATTGGCTCGATCTCACCGCCGCTGTTCGCTCCTGCCGCTGTCAATACTGTCGCCATTGCTTCTTCGCTACCAGCTCCTCACCTCATCTCAACCTTACCTTACCCAACCTTGCTCTACCTTACGGATACCAGTTATTACATAGCATACGACGACGGGTACCTTACCTCATACTTTGGGTCCAGGCATCGGTCTCCCTGTTCCCCTTGTACGATCCCAGGTCAACAACACGTCTTCTATCAACAAGGCATCAACAAGCAAGCATCAAGCAATTCGAGCAGCATTGACAGCACAGAGCCACAGTCCAGGGCCTCGCCCATAGCCGCATCCTCTTTTCGACCTCGCTTGGTCGTCACAATCTCTACATCAACACACGTGTCCCCATTTTCAGTCCTTGTCTCTCATCCAACTGGGAATCTGTGCCCGAATCCGTCATTCAAACCCATCCAAGGTTCCCGACGAAGCGAAGACAGGCGAGATCAAAAGTTTCCACTGGACCACTGCAGCGACGCAACTCCTTGACTACCGAGCTTTCACACCCGGTAGCTTCTACTCCACAACCTAGGAGTCTGTCAGTCACACACATTGCAGTGACAGAGCAAGATTGAAAGAGGTCGAGGCCCGCCCCTATCTACCGCAGTACAGCAAAATACCCTCGTCCGCCACGCCAGCTCGGCCAATCTCGCTGTCCAATCGTCGCCCCCGTTGCGCTGCAACCCTCATTCAACGGCCCCTTACCAGACCCAGACGGTAGACTGGACCCAGAGAGGAGTTCCTCCCAAGTTCCCAGCCCACGCAATCCAACTACCCTTACTGGCAGTGTACGGAGTACCACTCCTACCAACTGGATCTCCTGCTTAGGTTCCAGAACCTGGACCCCCCCCCCCCCCCCGACCCCCGAATTTCAATTCTCTCCGGGCCGCCCTCTAATCGCTGCACTTTGTGGCTATCTGCCCGGTCCAGTCACTCTCCTGCTGTGCCTGTGCCTGCACAACAACAAACACGCACACCTTCGGGCTGTCAATAATGACCCTCTTTCCACTCTCTCCATGACAGCCATTTTTTTGCTACATATCTGCTTCATCTCTGCTTGCTCACGCACTCTCTTATATGACCACCAGAGACATTTGAATTCCTACAAGGCTGTCGTTGCCAAAAGAACGAATCACGCTCACTTCTCCGCCGTCTGGAGACAGCGGCATACTCGGCGAGCCAACACCGCCTCTCCCTCGCATTCTTTGCCGAAGCGCCGTCGAGCATACACCACCACCGCCGATTGCCAATCGTTGCACGAGGCGTCCACCGCGCACTTTGCTCGCGCCGAGATGCAGAGCACTCACGAGATTATACGCCGTCGTGCCTCTGTGGTTGAGCGTCCGCCGGCGGACCCCCCGGCCACCACGACCACCACGGCTTTTACACCGCAACCTGCCGCCACCCCGAGATCCTCATATTTCAAGCCTTCAGAAGCCCAAATGGAGACTTTGATCGCAGAGATGGAGACCACAGAGGCAGTGACGCCTCCTCCGCCTACGCCATCAACCCAAGAACGTTTCTCGCGCGCGTCACGTTCTGGTTCGAACGCATCGCGCAACACGAACCGACTCTCACTCACCCTTCCCATTGCACCACCAACCAGCGATCCTTCTCGCCCAGCTTCCGTCGCGACGACATCTTACCCCCCGACGCCTGTCGACAGCTCGACCATCACATCACCCTCAGATCCCAATGACTTCATCATTGCGATAGCAGCGCAAGAGCGACGTGTCTTGGAGATTCGCGAAGAACTGGCCCGCGCCGAGGGTGAGCTGACGAGACTGAAGCAACAGTGGACTATCCAAGGCGGTCAACGAAAGAGGGAGATTCGTAATGAGCCAATGCGTCCCTTGGCACCTCAGTTTGAGCCATCATTACTGGATGATGACGAGGCAGGCTTGAAACGAAGCGTTGAATTGGATAGGAGGAAATCGCTCTTGAGAGATTTGCAGGGACAGACTGGGCCCAGAGAATATCGACGAAGAGTCCTCCGTGGCGGGCACACGAGGACCCTCTCACTACTGTCACCGACCAAGCCGGAGGGCTTTGCTGTGCATGAGGATACCGCAAGTCTGGGATCGCCAGAGATCCGTTCACCGCTTATGCTGTCCCACGCTGCGCTTTCCAAGAGAGCATCATGGCAGCCGCGCTCATACAACACAGCTGTTCCCCCTGTCGCGAAGCAAATGGCACAGGACTTTAGGCTAGGCCTGTGGAGCTTCATGGAGGATATCCGACAAGCCACAGTCGGTGATGAGCCCATCAATGGCGTTCCCGGACGCCCAGGCTCAACGGACCCTCATGGCAGAAGATCGTATGCTGGCGACCAGGAGACCATCAAGGCCAACAGCTCTTCTCGCAACAGGGTCCCGGTGAATTCTGCCTTTGACTTGCCGCCGATGGACACGCCTAGCAAGCCGTCCAAGGCGTTGCAGGAAAGGCCGAACCCTAAGCCTGCAACCAAGTCCACAACGACGAAGGCCAAGCACTTCTCATGGACCCCGTTGACTTTCGACTCCTTCGATGACAACGACTGGTCCAACTGGGACTCGCCTCAGCCGTCCTCGGCCAAGCCAGCACGCTGGAGTGGATCGACCGTTGGTGGAGCAGAGGACCTCGCGTCAATGACCGAGACCAACGACGAGAATGTGACTCCACTGTAAGAGCCTCACCAATGATGTTTGCCACCCCTTGTACTAAGACATTTGTGAACAGTAAGAAGAAGTCGTCCATCACCATTGACACATCGGCTGCGCGGCCCGAGCCTCGACCTGAGTCAGCCCTCTTGTCTCCCGCAAGGCTGGAGGAGCTTCTGCCAACCGTCGTCAATAAGCTGTCACCCGGCAATCTCAAGCGAACAGCCAACAACCTCATGGACGAGTGGGAGAAGAGTCTGAAAGAGCAAGACGAAGAGGAGCAGCTCATTGACTTCAAGGAGACCACGGCTTGAGCTCCGTCTACGAGTCACATTCACCACGACAAAACACACATCAATCGGCAGGGTAGCATTGCTACCAAATTGCCGACGCTGCACATACACGAACTCATCGCATGGATTACAGTATAGATAAAAGTACAAAAAACTGGACCGCGTTGCACAAAGCGGCCAGATGAGATGAGCGGACTGGTTTTCTCCGCTGAACATAGATATCCACTGTGGAGGTGGCCGAGGCCAGAGAAAGGTCTCGGGGTATGGAGAGGAAGAGAGCAGCGAGGATGGATGCTATTCAGATATCAGCAAGTCGAGGAGGACTTGCATGGATAATCAGAGCTGCCGTGACAGGAGCTCATATCGGCGTATGTCTGGGTGGCGATCTGGCAGTCATTCATGATGATGAATGGGGTCTGTTGGATAATGGCATGGCATAATGACGATACTAATGAATGTACGAACGTAAGTTTTTCGTGCTTTGGGATGGAATCAAAACATCGGCGTACGATACTGTTGACCTTGTTGCTCAGCGTTTCCCAGGCTTATTGTCTTTTAGCGAGATGGCCACATTATGGGAGTTGCGGCTTCAGGAATGACTTGCTTAAACGTAGTTAGTTAGACTTAGTGTTAAATGTTTACGATTCGATGGTCAATCTGTTTAGTTCGATGCTTCACTGTGCAACACGTAGTAGATGGCTTCAATTCAGGAATGGTGCCGTGCCTATATGATATATGTAACCTTCTGTCTTCATGATATCACATCTTCGGTTATCTCAGGAAACCTAGAGAGACAAGAACATGGGCTTGAGAGCGGTATCAAGTTGTGGCTTCACGTACGCAGTAGCCAGTCAGCGGGGCTAAATCTGTCAGTCTTGCGTTGTTGGGAAGATTACCTATCAGTACGGATAATCGAGTAAGGTAGTCCGTCAAGGTGATATCCAAGTAAGGGATGCCGTCTCAGGGCCAACGGTGCGGAGAACCAGCGGTGTCTTGAAAGCAGTCAGGCCGTGGCAGTGCAGCTTCCTCAGGCTCAGGCGCAAGGCAACCCAAAGTGGCCGGCGGGACTTCGCTTGGCGACTACCGGCCTGCCTGCCGCTGCGTAATTGAACCGAACTGAGGTCTTCCCTACCTCCATTTCTACCTTATGCGAGGGACAAAGAAGCCCGTCATCAAGTGTTACACCACTCTCCGCGAGGTCCCAAACCCAAACTACTTTGGACCATTCAAGATCTCCACTACCAACAGGATTCACCCCCAAGCATCGTGTACGGCCGGAGATTTGTACGCAAGATCCCCGAATTACAAAGTGCATGCAAGTCGGATTCCGTCCTCGCCTTCGGGCGCGGCCATCACTGGTTGACTTGCTTGTTCACGGGAAGACGGACGGCGCTGGTGACGGTTCGCCGCCAGTGTCACCGCCAAATCCGCCAGCTGTCCCGTCGTCGAATGGCACTGGCGACTCGAGTACCTACTTGCAGGTCCCTGACAGCGAATCTACATACGCGGGCGCCATTGGTGGTCCTTCAGCGACAGAAGGCTCAGAAGCAGGCACGGGCCCCGGTCCTACATCATCATCCCCACTTTCCCATGCAGAAGGAGGAGGACCACCACCGCCCACCCGTACCGTTCCCAGCTGGAGCACCACAAGTTCCACACAAGACCGGGAGGAGGTACTTCCAGTACGTGCACTGGAGCCGCAGCCGCATCCACAGCCGACCAGCCAACCTGTCACAGTGGACGTCGAAGCTCTGGAAATAGCTTCTGCTCAACCTCTACCATCCTCTCCTCCAACAACACCTCGACGATATCCATCTAGCCCGCCCTCCCCCTCAACCGCCGACCCTTCTACACCCTCCATCGACTCTCCCCTTGTGACGACGCTACACGAGCCGAGCCCTGCTCGCGTCGAACCGCCCATCATGCCTCCTGTAAGCACCCCGATCCCAACGCCGCGTTGTCGCCATCGCCGCCTCTGTTATGCGGCATATGCCAGCCCCACCGACCTCGATTGCTGGTTGCTGACCTCGGGCGCCAACCCCTACAGAAGCAGAAGAAAGAAGTCAAGGTCGAGCAGGAGGAGGATCTCGGACATGGTAAGCTCTCGATACTCTCCGATGCATCTCGATGATGCCATTGACTGACCATATCGTAAAGGCAAGATCTTCTCCGTCTCAGGGTTCGTTTGAAGCTCCCCCGACTCGCCTCGGTCCCTCAGTCTGTCGCGCCTGACGACTAACTATATCGATAGACCCGTCATTGTCGCCGAGGACATGATTGGTGTTGCTATGTACGAGTTGGTAGGTTGAGATGCTCGGAAAACCTCTGGGATGATGCCTGACATATTCGCAGGTTAGAGTCAGTCACGATAACCTAGTCGGTGAAGTCATTCGAATCAACGGCGATCAAGCAACCATTCAGGTCTACGAGGAGACTGGTACGTTTCTGACTCCCAGTTTTCGCCCCTCTCCGAATCGCATGTAACTAATGTCACGCGCAGCTGGTGTTACTGTCGGTGACCCCGTCTACCGCACCGGAAAGCCCCTCTCCGTGGAGCTCGGCCCCGGTCTGCTCAACGGTATCTACGATGGTATCCAAAGACCTCTCGAGAAGATCAGCGAAATTTCGAAGACCATTTACATTCCCCGCGGTATCGCCGTCCCCGCCCTCGACCGTAATAAGAAGTGGGATTTCGAGCCCTCCGCAAAGGTTGGCGACCACATCTCAGGCGGTGACGTCTGGGGTGTCGTCAACGAGAATTCGTTCATCTCCGTCCATCGAATCCTGCTGCCTCCTCGCGCCCGCGGTACCATCACCAAGATCGCCAGCAAGGGACAATACACCGTTGCCGAGCCCCTTCTCGAGGTCGAGTTCGATGGCAAGAAGACCGAGTACCCCATGATGCAGACTTGGCCTGTGCGAGTTCCCCGCCCTACCACCGAGAAGCTTCAGGCAAACGAGCCCTTCGTCGTCGGTCAGAGAGTGTTGGACGCCCTTTTCCCCAGTGTTCAGGGTGGTACCGTCGCCATTCCTGGTGCTTTCGGTTGTGGTAAGACTGTCATTAGTCAGTCTGTGTCCAAGTTCTCCAACTCCGATGTCATCGTCTACGTCGGTTGTGGTGAGCGCGGAAACGAGATGGCCGAAGTCTTGAAGGATTTCCCCGAGCTTACCATCGACGTTGACGGTCGCAAGGAGCCCATCATGAAGCGTACCACCCTCATCGCCAACACCTCCAACATGCCCGTCGCTGCTCGTGAGGCCTCCATTTACACCGGTATCACCGTCGCCGAGTACTTCCGTGACCAGGGTCTCGACGTAGCCATGATGGCTGACTCCTCTTCGCGTTGGGCTGAGGCTCTTCGTGAAATTTCTGGTCGTTTGGGAGAAATGCCTGCTGACCAAGGTTTCCCCGCCTACCTCGGTGCCAAGCTTGCCTCTTTCTACGAGCGTGCCGGTCGCGTCAAGTCTCTCGGTTCCCCCGAGCGAAACGGCAGTGTCAGCATTGTCGGTGCCGTCAGTCCCCCTGGTGGTGATTTCTCCGATCCCGTCACTACTTCGACTCTCGGTATCGTACAGGTCTTCTGGGGTCTCGACAAGAAGCTCGCCCAGCGAAAGCACTTCCCCTCCATCAACACCTCGCTCAGTTACTCCAAGTACACCATGGTTCTCGACCAGTGGTATGAGAAGGACTACCCCGACTTCCCCCGTCTCCGTGACCGCATCAGACAGCTCTTGTCCGACTCTGAGGAGCTTGACCAGGTCGTGCAGCTGGTCGGAAAGAGTGCGCTGTCTGACCCCGACAAAATCACTCTGGATATCGCCGCGCTTCTGAAGGAAGACTTCTTGCAGCAAAACGGTTACTCAGACTACGACCAGTTCTGCCCGCTGTGGAAGACGGAGTGGATGATGAAGCTCATGGTTGGCTTCCACGACGAGGCACAAAAGGCCATTGCACAAGGCCAGAGCTGGGCCAAGGTCCGCGAGGCCACCAGTGAATTGCAGGGCAAGCTGCGTCAACTCAAGTTCGAGGTTCCCTCCGAGGGCCAGGAGGCTATTGAGAAGAAGGTGAGTCCAAATGACAACGTAATTGGTCACTGTCTGTTTACTAACTCAATCGCAATAGTACGAGGACATTCAGCAGCAGATGCTGGACAAGTTTGCCTCCGTCGTTGACGAGTAATCGCTTTTAAGCATTGGGTGTTGTCCTGTTTGGTCTGCATTCCTTGCACCGTGAGGGGATGTCTCTGGTTTCAATAGATAAGTCTAGGGCGAAGACGCATCATGCATGATGGTTCCTTGTTTCGTAGTATCGGCTAGTATATCCTATCTGTACATGATCGTTGCTATAGCCGAAATGCGCTTTACAGTTTGAGAGTGACACCGTCATGCCGCGTGGGTGAAGACGTAGATCGAGGTACTTTGAGATACCTCGTCAGGGGCGCCCAACTTCATGGGCATCGTGAATTCGTGCTCGAAACCATGAGGCTAAGCGTTACCGATACTCTACCGGACGACATCACAGTCATTCGATGCTTTCTAGTAGTGGTTAAGCTGTGCCGCATACACGCTTCGATCCCAACCAAGTGAGCTCGATGGCCTCCAGGAAGCATGCTCGATATAGGCTTAAACAACCTAGCTACGTGAGTACATCCAGCAAGTGCACAAATAAGATCACAGGCTTTCCCAACTCATCGCCCCAAATGTAGGCATCCACTAGTACCTTACATCGTTGAAGGTGGGTCTGACGACTGCTCCTGCCTTTCGGATAAATACGAGGCTGACGAAAGCCCATATAGGTCCCGTCAATCCCATTCCTGTCACCAGCCAGGAGGCGCCCGTCTAGGTCGACGGGTCAGGTCAAACTGGCTGGGTGGTGGAGCGGTCTAAGGTCAACAATCAAATCGCCAACCAGCCTACTCGACGACAGGCTACGAGTTCGAGTTCGATTCCCAGCAAGTGCACCAAGAGATGTAGCCACACCGGTGGTGAACTCTTTTTTTTTCCCCTATAATTATTCAGAGGTTTATTATTTATTTACATTGAACTAAGGAATTTCATCCCGCCTTTCATGATTTACTCATCTCTTCCTCAAGCCAAGCTGGGATCGCAGGCGGATGCTCCCAGCCGTCGAGGTAGCTCTGCCTGGCGACGCCCTCGCCGCTCGGCTTGGCGTAGATACCCGTCACGTACCAGACCGTCTCGCCCTTCTTGATGATGTGCTGCAGCGTCGGGATGGTTGTCCGGCTCTCGACGAGGTTGGAGTTGGGGTCGGCGTTGACGAGGTTCGCTGTCCGCTCGATCTTCTGGATGCCGCCTTCCAGGGCTTTGATGCCCACGGCGCCCTTGGATACTGCAAAGGAGCCGTCTTGGCCCCTTGCGAGCCCTTCGGGCGTGTTTGTGTCGTAGTTGCCAATGATTTTGGGGGACGTGCCTTCGCCTTTGGAAGCGTCGTAGAGGTCGAGGTATCGCCCGTTTGTCGAGTTCTCATTGGCGATGGCAAAGGAGCCGTCGGCTGTCATGACGTCCCGGCCGGCTTTGATGCGATGGATGCGTAGGTGCCAGTTGGGCGTGGGCTCGGCGGGGGGCACGAGGATGGTCTTGATCTCGACGTCGGGGAAGGGCTTCCACACGGAGACGAGGACCGACACGCCGCCATCACCGTCTCCTCCTCTGGACTCGATACCCGCGTACTGCGAGAGCCGGCGCGTCTTCCAGTACTCGCCGCCGTCGTCTGAGAGGCCGAGCTGCGAGGCGAGAGCGTACTGCTCGAGGGAGAAGAGGCCCGGGGGCACGGAGTAGCCGTAGGCGCTCGAGTAGGCGAAGGCGCCATATTTGGCGTGGGTGCCCTTCATCGGGTAGCTGCAGGCTTGGCCGGAGGAGAGGAGCATGCAGTGGCCGCCGATGTTGCTCATGATGTGGCCTGGCTGGGACAAGGGTTTGAGTTTTGGGATTACGTCCCAGGCTTGTTCTTCCTTTGATGTCCAGAAGGGGTGATCTTCGGGGACGGCGAGGCAGATGAAGGCTAGGCAGGCCCAGTACTGGTAGGATGTATCGGTCAGCCATGGATTCTCAGTATAATTTGTCCATACAGGGGTAAAACTCACAGGGCTTCCGGGACTGTTGTAGTTCTCGGCCATGTACATGTTAGGGTACGAGTACCCAACCGTCAACGTCCCGCTCGGGCTCCACATGTCGTGCTGCGTCTGCCACCAGCGCAGGTGACGCATCACGATGCCCTTGACCATACCCCACGTCAGGGGCGCCGGCAGCTCGACGCCGGCGTACGCGAGGGCGCCCCAGAACGAAACCATGGCGAAGCGGTAGCCTACGCTGCGGCCAAAGGGGATGGCGCGCCCTTGCTCGTCGAAATAGTGGACGAGGTCGAGGGCGACCAGCTGCGCCCTCTTGCGGAACTCGGCGGCGCGTTCGGGCTCGTCGTCGCCGGCGATCTTGGCGTAGAGGAGCTGGAGGAACTGGATGGCGAAGCTGGAGGAGTAGTAGTCCATCTGGTGGATGCCCTCGGGCCCGTCGTTGGACCAGCCGCCGGCGCGGTAAAAGGTGTCGAGGTGCTTGATGTCTGCGTCGAGACGGGCTTGGGAGAATTTGCCGCCGTTCTTTTTGAGGCCTAGGTTGGCGAAGACGCGGAACCAGAGCCAGTTTGTGTTTGGCATGCTATAGGGGGGGAGTGGGTGTTAGTGACAAGATCAAGAGTGTCACATTGGGAATAATGAATGCTTACTTCTTCTCATTGATTGAGTTGCCTAGCCAGTTCTCGACGTTTACACGCTCCTTTTCGGATAGACTTTCCCAGATGGTTGGCGCAACGGCGAGAGTGAAGCCTACAAACGTCAAGTCAGCCTCCTCGTATGTCGCAGATACTGTGTAAGTGCACCCAAGAACATACCAAAAGGGCACATCTCAACCATGCGCTGGTCATTATCCCGTGGAAACCCCCAGTACTCTGGGTTCTCGGGGTCGGTACCGGCCTTGATGCCCTGGATCCACCACTCGGTGCCGCGGTACTCCCCTCCGCCGGCCAGGAGGGCGGCGAGGCCCCAGATGGGGCGGAGGATGCCCTCGACCTCGGAGGCGGCCTGGTCGAAGCGGACGGCGGTGGCGCCGGGGACTTTGACGCGGGCTTTCTGCGGGGAGAAGAAGGGCTCGAGGGGATCGAGGAGGGTGCGGAGGAGTTCTTGGACGGAGGACCTGTCTGTGAGGTGTACTTTAGAGAAGGGGTGGGCGCCGTTGTAGCCCAGCACGAGGCCGGTTTTGGGGTTCTCCATGATGCAGCTTGGGGTGTGGATTATCGAGCAAGAATGAAGGAACACCTTGTGTGAGAGAGAGAAGAGGAAACGAGATGAACGTCAGGTAAGATGAGAGGAATCATTCAGAATTATGTTTAGCTACCTATGTACGCGGCGGGGGAACATCGAGGTCATAACCCGGCATCCCACGCAACGAAGCTCGCGTTAGAATTACTCCGGCCAGCATGAACCCACAAGCAACCGGGCGACTTTCGCCGTGCCCGTGTAGACGCAGAATCATCGGGGCTACCTTAGCTTTGCGGGATGGGATGGCAAGATGGTGGGGTCGACTTCGGGGAGCTCTGTCCAATGTTCTTCTTCCCTCCCAGACGAGAGCGTCGAGGAAAGTTGTTGTTTGGGGGCTCCCCGCTCAATGTTTGGGGTTCGTTCGGTGGGGGTGGAGAGTGAGGGGGAGGGGCTGCTACGACCAAGTACGGATACCCTCGTATGAATAAGTGCTTATACTACCGGCGATGCGGAGGAGGGGAAGGGGAAGGGTGACCCGTATCCGTAGTCGCGGCTAAATGCGAAATTGAAGACAACCTGCAGCACCGGGAACCATGCCGGCCGTTTACCTTCAGCCTTAATGCGTTGGGGGGCAGCTCTACTACGGAGTACAGGCTAGGTAGTCTTGGAATTTTCTGATGCAGGAGACCGGTGATGCATGTGTTGTCACCAGGGTGAAGAATGTGCCGAGTCTGGAGGTTGATCAAGATGGAATTCCTCCGGATGAAGAGTTCGCCGCATTTTTGGCTGTAACTTCGTAGGTTTGGTGATTTCGTCCGGCAACAGGTCGGACTGGAGGACGCAAGATGACTGCTGTGTTCTGCCGCAGCGGACTGATCTAGCTTCAAGTAGAAGCTAGACCTTAGGGATTTTCATTAATGGGAAGGGTGGCCGAGTTGGTTATGGCGCCAGGTTAAGGTCAGCTTAACATCTGTTTCCTGGTGGGGCAACCCGCGCGAGTTCGAGTCTCGTCCCTTTCATTTTTCGGTTTTTTGATACCTGCTACGACATCGGTGGAGCTGATGTGAACGAGCCTTGCACTTTTGCGCTCCTTGCAATGTTGTTTGCCTTGAAATTGTACAGGTGAAGTTGCTGTCGTGGTTGGTTGAGGAAGGTTTGCAGTCCAAGTTCCTAGTGCCTTCCTATATCTGGCGGTGAGTGAAACTTAGCATTATGAGTCAACCCGACTCTGATCACTCGCAACCAGCTACTCTTGCTTTTCCCATTAGTCCTTAACATCTAAGTTATTCACCATGTGATTCTTCTTGTATATAATATGCACTCGAGGTCTTATCCATAACAATCAGGTACGAGACAGGGATGCCTTCTAATTAGGTGCTCCGGATGCTGACATTACTTGCTCAAGTAGGGCTGCCGGCGAAGACCCAATATTGACAATATAACGCTACGTTGCCAGAAAGAAAAAGGTCAATACACAAAACCCTCCTCTTAGATTCTTCTTCACCATCCTCAGTGTATTCCTCTCTAAATAAACCACAGAGTAAAGCCAGGGGCATGCGCTGGCATTGCTACGCCGCCTGATTACCGGCCATTTGAACACAAGGGACGGTCGGAAATGGGAGGAGATCGACCACGAAAGTTGGTGCGACGAGACGGAGAGGGAGGCTCTACCATAGCACAGGCGATTGTTGCCCAGAAACGTTTGAGTAGATGCGTGTTGGCTGTGTGCGGGATAGTTTGGACTCTTGGAGGTTGTTGGTCTATGGTATGTATTGAAGACGTGCTATGCAGGTTTCGGGAGGACCCTTATGGTACCCATCCATCTTCAACCTTCAAATAGCCAAAGATGTGTTAGATACAGATCGAGAGTTCTCGCCTCTTCACCCTACCACCAAACCCAGTGTCAGCGTGGCATCTAAGCAAACCGCTCGTATACATGTCACATGAAGCCCACACACCAGACGAGTTGCTTCACAATCGCATCATTGGAACATAGTCTTCATCCTCAATTCACCTTCCTTCCTACAGCCAATCCTTCAAAAATCCTCCCTTATCCGTCCTTATCAAGAAGCCCCCATTCTTCTCACACAACCCCCAATCCTTCACCAGCTCATCCGAGCCCATCTGCCATGCACCGCCACCACTCCCCGCCATGCAACAGAATACAAACAGCTCCAGAAAATTTCAGAATGCCAAACCCAAAGACCAGCCGGGAGTCCAGCATTCTCCATTCCCTTATGCGTCTGAAGGTGTTGATCCCGTAAAAAGAGAAGAGCCAAGTGGCCACCAAAAACGCGCAATGATGCAGCGATGCAGTACAAAGACGCCCGATAGTTGCAAGCGCCCCGACTCCTTTTCGGCCACCTATATATCGTTTGGGGGAATAATTCACAATCGAAAAAAAGGGCCACTCCGAATCGTCAGTCCCTTCCTCCCCTCCAACTGACAAGATGGTAGGTACTGTGTGATTGAGCTTGTGTAGAGGGGATGGGTATTTCCCCCCTCAATGCTAGTGTTCTTCGAAGTAGTAAACATTACGTAGTTTTTTGTGTATATACGACTCCGACTGGTGACTTTTTCTTTCCCACATGAGATCCGGGCTCATGGCTCTACAGGCGTGTTCTCAATCGAAGGTGTCGGGGGTATCTCCTCCTCCTTCGCTTCCGTCACAGTCGTGTCTCCTTCGCTGACGGCGGTGTTTGTGGACGTTGCCTTTTCCCGCCTGCGTCTTCTCGTCCTCCTCTCTTCCTCGGCCGTCTGCCTCCTCGAGCGCCGCAGGCTCTCTCGCTTCTCCGGATCGGCCTCGTCGGCCCCATCTCCTCCACGTATACCTTGTAGCAACAACGCCGCACGATCGGCCACGTCGTCCTCTCCAGCTTCTCTGGGTGACGACAATCCCGGACTGATGGGATTGCCTTCTTCGTCAATAGTCGCCTCCTTGGGCACTTGTTGTAGGGAGACTTCGACCTCGGGGATTTCATCTGGATCAGGGATCTTCTGTCCAGATGCGACTCGCACCTGGTGACGATCCTTGAGTCTAGCCCTACGACGACGATCTCTTTGGTCTCGTGTCTGAGGCGCAGCAGCGCGCAGCTTCTCCAGCAATGAGTCCATAGCACCTGCGCTTGATGGCGAAGGCGGTGCTCCTTCCACCTTGGCATTCGATACCTGGAGCTGGGCGTGCTTCCGCTTCATAGAAGCCTCGTTGCGCCTGCGCGTCTCCTCGAGCTGAACGTTCTTCTCCCGGGACTTCTTCCAGCCCATGATAAACATGGCAAGCTTGGCGAAGAAGTCTCTGCGGGCGTTCTCGTCGGTGGGGTCTTCACCATAGAAGACCATAATATCGTTGTAAGTCTTCATCATCTCCTCCAGGTACAGCTGCATCTCCTCCGCCTTTCTTCTCGCGTCCTTCATAATTCTTTGGACAATTTGACTAACACGATCTTGGGGATGGAACTTCTTGGAATCGCTCAGGTTACCGGCATCGAGAGACGTCTGAACGTTCTTCACCGTGTCGATGTACTGCTTGGCGTCCTGCTGAACTTGCTCAATGTTGATCTTCTGAGCCATCACGACACCATTGATGTCATCCGAGAAATCTTCCCATTCGGGGTACTGGTTGCGAACGATTCGCTCGACGAGATCGGCGAGCGTGGATTCATTCTTGTCATCCTTGACCATGCCCAGACGGGCGAGAGAGCTCAGCTTGAAACCGCGGGCCTGCTTGTTGGCGTCGTTCATGTAGTTTCCGATATCGAGAATGAGACCGAGAACGTTCATGAGGGACACCGAGTCTCGCAGAGACTCGGACACGCCGACAACTTGGCGCATCTTCTCCGTGATCTCGTCAAAGTCGGGCTCGAAGCTCCTAGTAAGGGCAAGGGCTCGCATACGGGCCTTCCAGTAATGGTGCAATTCAAAGGCTGTGAACAGGTAAATCTGGTCCTGTCTGGTGAGTTCGGCAGGGTCCTGTTCGCGTTCGGCCTTGTCGGGGTTCGCGCCAGTCCAATCCTTGCTATACGGAGCCATCTGCTTCGCTGTGTTATCCGGAATATTGCACAAATCATCCTTGCGCAGGAAGTCCATGACAACAGAGTTATCCAGAATGTCCTTGTCGCAATGGATGATGGACTGCACAACTTTCTCAACGGAAACCTGAGAAAACTTGGCGAAGGCAATTTCTAAGAGGTGTCAGTTGGTGTCATTTAGACAAGATGCGAGAAAAGGAACAAATGCATACCGAAAGCTTTGCGGAGGTCTCCGGAGATGATCTGCTTCTTGTCATCCTTCTTCGCGCCACCGCCGACTCCAAGTCTCTTGATTTCCTTGGCCATGAAGAGCTTCTCAACCTCGTCCAAGATACCCTTGCGGCTAAGTTCAAGGTACTTCTCTTCACGTTCCTCAGCAGACGGGGCATGGGCGGCCCAATGCGTAGTCATATGAGAGTCGACCTTGTCCCAATGAAGAGCCTTGAGCTTCTTCTTTGGACGAACGATAGGCAAGCCGATAGAATTCCCGCCGGCGAAAGGTGTGGCCTGTGATAGGAAGTGGCCTGAAATGGCGCCAGGCAATGGCGGAGGGGGAGGTGGTGGCATTCCTGGAAGACCGCCTGGGGGTGGTGGAGGCGGAGGCGGGGGCGGAGGTGGAGGTGGCGCCCCGGTCGGAGACAGCATCCCCGGCATGGGCGGAGGCGGTGGTGGAGGAGGAGGAGGTGGTGGTGGTGGAATACCGGGTTGACCGGGCATGGGTGGCGGCGGAGGTGGAGGAGGCGGCGCGGCAGCCCCAGTAATCTGGATCTTGGGAGGTTCGCCATCGGCAGGCGTGATGGGAGAGCCGGATTCGAGGCTCGGATGAGAAGGGCCGGTCGTTGCGCCCTCGGCATCTTCTGAATCGCTTCCCTCGTACTTCTTGACCTTGCCGGCCATCTCGCCAAAGAGACCGGCCTTTTGGTTGGAATCCATAACGGGGCGGCGGAGCTGGACGACCCGGGGCTTCTCATAGACAACTCCGTCCTCGTCCATCTCGACGTCCTCGCTTTCGGGGAAGTCGCCTTCCATAGGCTCGCCACGACCGTTGACTGGCTTACGGGTGATCTTTGTATTGCGGTTGACACTTCCGAGCATACTGTTTGTGAAGT